TATAAACAGGCCTGCCACTTTTTTCCGGCTCGGGGCTTTGCCGGAGAAAAGCCCCAGCCTAGATGTGGGTGCTGGGGTAGGGGACAGGGTGCCAATGAGTGCTGGGGCAGGGTACTTGTGGGGGTCTGGGTAGGGGGAGGGGACAGGAACCGGTCCCTGGGGATCCTGCAGCTGCATGCCAAGGTCCAGGAAGTGCACGGACTGCTCCCGTTCCCCATACAGTGGCACGGATACCTGAAACGTCGGTCTGTCACACGCCGGGGATTTTCTTCCCCTGCTGCCTTCCTGTGTGGGGGAAGTGGGTGGAGAGGGGGGCCCAGACCCTGCCAGTTTCTCTCCGGCTCCCCATGGCAGCATGTGCTGCCTGAGCAGTTGGAGCTGGTGCAGTTCTGGATCCCCACTCTCCCCCCTCCTCCGCATGCAGGAAGGCAGTAGGGGAACAAAGTCCCCAGCGTGTGATGGACTGGCATTTTAGGTACTGGGCTGGCTGTTTGGGGAGGGGAGAAGAACAGCCTGCGCTCTTCCAGACCCTGGCGAGCAGCTGCAGAACTCCCCCTGACCACACAGGAAGCCCGTGGTACCTCCGTTGTCCCTGGAGGTAGCATCAGCACAGGGTTCATCTTGGGGGTGAGGAGCAGTGAGGGGGAAGCACCGAAAGCCTCGTGATCGGTTGGTCGAGCCCCCAGGATTGACCAGTCGATCACGATCGACAGGTTGGTGACTATGGGTCTAGACCATCCCCAATAGATGTCTTATCTAACCTGCTCTTAAATATGTCCAGAGATGGAGATTTCACAACCTCTGTAGGCAATTTATTCCAGTGTTTAACCAGCTCTCCTACCCTTGGGACAGCCTTATGATGGATGTTGCTGAACCAGAGTGCCATTTTTTGTAGGTACAACCTGCATATGCAATGTACAACAGGACCCATTCTAGGAGACCTGCATCTCTTCCTCTAGGCATTCAAAATACAGCCCACCTTCATTGCAAATACATTCTGAAAACATCATAACAATTACAATTGCAAAACGTTCATAACTAAACAATCAAACCCAATTTTCACTCTACTTACACCGATCATCCCTCCTGGATTTTCCAGGACAGTCTCGATTTCAAATATTCTGTCCTGTTGTCCCCATAAACCATCAAAATGTCCCAGAGATTCCAATATTTTGACAAATATTGCAGTGGGGAATGGGGGGGCGAGGGGGGGAAGCCCTGAGACTCCCCACCGGATCCAGTTTGTGGGGAAGAAGTGCAGCCAGAAGTGACTGCATGTGCTGCTGCTCCCTCCCCCCTCCTGTAGATAAATCTATGTATTATATATTGCTTCATATAAATCTATGTATTATATATTGCTTCATATAAATCTATGTATTATATATTGCTTCATATAAATCTATGTATTATATATTGCTTCATATAAATCTATGTATTATATATTGCTTCATATAAATCTATGTATTATATATTGCTTCATATTTGTAACTTTGAATTAGAACCCTATATAGAAAACTTGTAGAAGAATAATATTTTCCCCCCACTCTCTTTCCCCCACTCTGTAATCAATTGCCCTGTTGAATGAATGAGGTGTGAATGAGTAAGACTTGGGAGCCAAGCACCTCCAGACAGCTACACCAGTTGAAGAGGGGGTGGAAGCCAGACCCAAGGTGTCAAGTGGGCTGAAGAAATCCAATCCTTGGGGATTAGAAGCAGGCACCTTCTTTGGAAAACACCCTCTCTGCAGCACAAAGGGACGAATGGACACAGACCCAGAGTTTGAATCTGGGATATATCTGCATATGAGAGGGATGCTAGAAAAGTGAGGTGTCTTGCAGAGGACCCCGGGTTTCGTCTTGTCACCATTGGAGCATCGATCCGGATCCGCAGAAGCCCGG